TGAACAGGTTCATAATATCACTGCCCCACAACAGATCTGATTATAATTACATGAGTGTATTCTGTTAAACTAATGTGTTGCAGATGTATTTTTATGATGTGTATGACTATGTTTCAGCCTTTTTAAGACTTGGTAGCATTTAAAAAAATAAATAGTATAGGCCGTTTTTCCAATAGCTCCAGAGAGGTGTAGAATCAATCTAACAGCGCCATAGATTACATTCATACAAGCACAATAACACAAAATTGGTATATATTCTCTTTTGAAATATTCATATTTGTACTTATGTGTGTCAGGTTCCTAAGCCATAGGTTGCAGTGGCTGGCACCATCAGTGTCTCTCGCCACACTGATGGTGTTTGAGACATATTATGTTGTGCTCCCATTGAAAATAACTAAAAAGACACTGGCCTCAGGTAAAAAAACAAAAAACGCTTTGATGGACATGGCCCCTCAGCATACAGTTTCTGGTACGGGATGTTTGAACTCAATAACAAGGCCCAGGAGCAGAGGAAGTAAGATTAGAAAAGTTAGAGGTTTGCTAATGAAAATTCACAAAAAGCAAACAGATCAAAAAAAGGTGGGAATAATTCATTATCATTTGAGCAAACCTATGTTGGCACAAAATACGATCTGGTAGTGTTGTAAACCAGGTATACTGTATATACTAGGAAGTTAATGAGGGAAATGAGCAGGTTGGGATCAGGTGACTGGGGAGAGGCAGGAGCCGACTGAAAAACCAAAAGACAAGCTCAAGTCAGAAAGTCCATATATAGTGTGAAAGTGTATGGTTTCTGGCTTGGCAGCTCGCAGCTAACGGTGCTTACACTGTATTAATGCTCTGATATCATATAGAAAACCTTCAAACGGCTATTTCAGACAAAGAGCATTTCCCACAACCTGTTCATTTCAGGAAATACACCAGCCAAGCAAATTCTACACACATTTTGCACTTAAGTGTGTATTCCATGTAATATCACGGTGGGAAATTGCCAGTGCAATCATACACAAACAACTCATTGAGAAAACCCTTGCCCTGAGCAAAAAACACAGCAGTTGGTCTCCAATATGTGAATGACAAATGAATATCACTCAGTGGGTCAGATGGTGTAGACACACTCAATGCTCTGTGCTAATCAGGCCAACCTACAGACCTCACATACCATCAGGACATCCTCCAGGGGGAAATTAGTACTTTCCACTTTGCTAAACGACTATACTTTCCTCCCTGGGTGAACGCATTGTTTGTTACATGGGCAATTTCTTTATGTAAATTGTACTGCAATGGGTCACATACCAATTATAAGTAAAACATTCCGTTTTCTACTGATTCTAGAAAGCAAATTAGAGGCACATTTATGCATATTTACACAGGAGAAAGCTACGCTAAAGGCAGACATAAGCTCAATATGTACCATTATTTATTCACCAGTTAAAGGTAAAACTGTGTTTTTAGTTATCTACCTGGTAAACTTGTGTCAAAGAATCAGTGTCAGTCTCAAGATGTCAGCTGTTAACTAAATGTAATATCTACACCAGTGTACTTTGAAGGTCACTTAGGCTAACTAGCTACAGAAATAACTGTATGTATATATAGATTGCATTTCTGAGTTAATATCAAAATCTCTGTTGATATCTCACCCTCTTACGTTTTCACTGCATGAGGAGAGGGTTAACATTAACAGCCCAAAACACAGAGGCCATCTGGAGTAAAAACATGGTAACTACCAAACATGTTGCAAAGGTTGGTCAGTTTTTGTTGTGGTTCAATTCATAGAATGTATCAGCTATGGCAGAGATCTGGCAACATTACAACCAAAGGCCTTTACATGCTGGAGGTAACATGTCGCAAATTGGCATCGCTGTCCGTATGAATAGTTTTGGTGTGAAATATTCGCAGGCAGGTATTTTGCATTTTTGTGTTGTTTTTTTGTCATGCCCCCATTGTGTAAAGACCTTAATAACTAAAATGGACTTGAAACAATTCCACATTTTGCTGTCAAAATGTGGAATTGTTTCATATTTGAATAGAAAAAGTCTCCAGAATTTAACTACACAGACAACTTGCTGACAAAGAGGTACCGTAAAAGTGTTCTCACTTTAGTTTGGCCTCCCGTCAGTTGGAGTTTGAATCTGATCTTTTTGCTGTAATTGTATACTTGATCACTCACATTTAGTTCGTGCTTCTTTCATGCAGTGTTTATTTAATTATGTCTCCCCCTGCTGTGTTTTAACTCTAAAAAGTATTCTTAGTAAAGTATTTCTCTATAATGTAGCTAAAAGCACTGCAGGATCCAATGCGTATATTCCAGCAGGCAAACTGCTGTATCGTTATACTACGGTAGTGCGCACACAACAGGGCTTTTGATTTGAACTACGGACCCAACACAGGGGAATGTGGGTTAAGGATTGTGATTGACATGACCCTGGGTAAGGGTCAACTTTGGAAAAACACCAAATCAGGATCCGGGTTAAGAGCTGGATGACGTTCTGTCCATGAATCTTGGGTCAAACTTTAGTGATAAGAGATAAGTGATAATTAAAATACACGAAGACCACTGTACATTTCTTGGGGTGAGATGCGAGGATCCAGGGACGGGGGATGTCATATGCTGGACAGATTGTAAAGCCCTATGGGGCAAATTTGTGATTTGAGGTTATAAAAAAAAAATTGAATTGAATCAAATTGAAATTAATTTTGGAGGTGGAGATTTGGCTTTTGATGAACCCATTCAGCCGTTGTAGAGGCCATGCTGTGTTGCATTACAGAGAGAGGCGTTTCTGTTACTTAGCCTAAGCTCACTGGTATAAATGGGGTGGGCAAAATAATAGAAACATTGGTCAGTATAACGAGATACAAATCAATACAGTGGCAGCACAAAATACAGCCTCCAAAATGACCTTAAATCATCACATATCCAGAATAGTTACAATAGAAAACTGAATATTTTAACCTTCATCCAGGTTGAATGTATTGCAGACTTGCTGTATTACAATGCATCTGTTTTAGCCATTATAAACTGGCAAGTGTATACTGGCATGGAGCTTATAGTGGCTGGCATTATTATCCATTATTATCCAATTTTGCTAACTATAAATCTAAAGAAACGGAATCGGGAAATGGGTCATCTTGGATACGTTCCCACCCAAACTACCTCTAACCCAGAAACTACATCTTACTTTAATGTGATGGAGCAACTCCAGATTCTGTAACCTGGTTACAATAGCTGATTTAAGTCCTACTTTGACTGACCGAGAAATACTCTAAACCTTGGTCTTTGTCACTGCTCACATTTATTTGTTTACACACTCTTTAACGGCTGTAAAATTGTTGAATGCATCTCCAACCAGGGCCGTACCATTGAGCACAATCAGATCATGTCCAGGGTCATTTTCCTGGTGGGTATCTTCTAAGCTGAATCCGGCATTTTTAGACTCAATGTATCATTATTTTTAGGGCAGTTTATGGGAGTAATTTATTCCCAGCATTGTGGAGAAGCCAGCATTTAAAAAAACATATTTTTTTCATTGAAACAGTTAGCTGAATAATAAAATATGATGAATTGAAATCACCATCTATTTTTTAAGTCTTTTTAAATTTCTAAAATGGTTACAATACAATTTCCCAAACTGTAGGAAACAAGGCCACATATTTCTCTTCATTTCTTTAATTACCTGGACAGGTAGTTTTTTGTAGATTGAATGCTGAATTCTATTCATGCAGGAATCACTTATTATCTGCATAAGAATATTATTTAGATTCTGTTTCCATCCATTCCTTTTGTTGTCTTTTACCTGGATCTTCTGGTGCTTACTGTGTGTTTGACTTTCTCTAGGTAGCACTCTTCTTTTCCTGTTCATTGATGGTGGCTGATCATATTTACATTTCTGTGTATTCAACAAAAAACAAAGTCTGTCCAGCTAATTATTTTGTCTTAAAAATAGCTATTGGGGTTTGGATATTCAGAGAAGGAAAATATTTTGTTTTGGTCTGGCTATAAGTTGAATTCCTCTTGAATTAGACCTCTAAAGCTTCAGCCACACTAATGCGTTTCCGTTTAAAACCAGGGATTTAAAACAAATATGATCTACGTTCACTCTGCCATTTCATCATCGTTTTCGAAATGATTTCCATCCATACCAACACGCCGGTTTCTGTTCTCACACTCGTGACAAATCAGGGAAGGCCACGTCATGACTGTGAACACCCAATCAAGTAGCGAACATGGGTGTCTATGTCAGCGTTTTCAAAGGTCTCCGGCTCTGCGTCTGTCCACACCACCACGCAACCCCTGAGTTTTCTAACTTACACGGAGTAGGTAGCGTTTCCAAACCCCTCCGATTTTGGGTGTTTAAACTCCGAAGTAGTGTGGACTAGGTGTAAATGTAGCAAAAGATATGGGTTTTAAAACGGAAACGTAGTAGTGTGGATGTAGCCTGAGAGGAAATCAGGTATTATTTGTAAAAATACTACCCCTGAACATGACCTTAATAGTAAAAGAATTGGTCCTATCAGTTAAACATCTCCTTATATCTTTACTCTTTACTCTATCTTTACTCTAGGAGGAGGAAGTGTAAAGAATAATGAGGTGGCAAAACAAACAGCTCGTCAGCAGAGGCCTGCTTATCAGGCTGCTACATGACTGTGTATCACCCACTCGCTGAGTGTTGAGCCAGGGAAATGTGGCTCAGCGATCAACCAACCTGCTCCATTGATTAACAGCATTTTCTCATTCTTGGCCAAGAGATTGGCTTCCCCCAACATGTGTTGTTTGTTTGAGGAGAGACGAGGACCGGTGCCATATGTTTGTGTGCTTACGTGAGGGTACACTTCCAGCTGAGCCACTTGCATTTAAAACTAGCAGCCAAATGCTCCTCATATGGAGAGGCGTTCAAAAGAAAAATCTTCTCGGTTTGAACGAAAGTATCTCAGTGCTCGCCTGCTGGGCATGATCTTCCTATTGGCTCAATATTTTGGCCCCTGTTGTACTCTAAAGTACCATTTTGTACATTTTGTACCCCCCTCTAAGCATGTACCCCCTGTCACCCCTCTCATCACACACACATGCACATACAGTACACTTACTTGGGATCCCAGTGGGTGTGTGGGCTATTCAAACGTCCTGACTCAGAGATTTCAAATCTAATTTAAGACCCATTCAATGCTGTTAAGAATTGCTTTATTTCTCCAGCGTTGGACTACAAGGTCAGTTTGCACCAACAGCTGATGAGCGATCAATAGGAATTTGAATTTAAAGAGCCGTTGCCCCGGGGGCGGTCAGTCGCCGGTGCATGGTGTTACCACAGGGGGGGCTAAGCCCAGGGGCTCAACAGAGACCTATATCCTTCCACAGACCCTCCACCCCCACCTTCCACCCCACATCCCCAAGCTTGGTTAACTCTCAAGACCATGATTAATTCATGGTGGATTACAGTCTGGAGGCAGGGGAGAAAACTAGAATTGCATATATGGTCCTAAGTGCACATGCCGGGTTTGGGAGATAAAGGTTCCCTCAGATTCATGCCACAATCCCACGGCCCGACTCGTTTCCCTACAAGTGTGAATAATTTTTCCATCCTTCCTACAAAAGATCATGCCTCAGTGTTTGGGCTTCTTGATTGTTATTACGGCTGTGTTCACCGAAATAAGTTCGGAAAAGTCCCTCCCAGCTGTCAGCCCGCACGGCGAGAACAGCAAGCTGCAGGGAATAATAATGTAGAAGCAGGCTAATAAAAGCATAACAAGCAGGAGAGCTGCGGTCACAGCAATTTCATCATTGTCCTTCACAGTTGCACTGCTAACTGCTGATGATTAGTCGACGACCTCGAGTAACTGAACAGAAGACTCCAAGCCAAAGTGGTTGAGGAAAGAAGTGGCAACGATATAAATTGTGAATGCGCTCCCCCTTGTGTCAGCTACAGCAAGCCAGTCCACCAAATGCCTCCACTGCTGGGAGGGAAATCAGCAGAAAAGTTTTCTGTTTTTGTTCAAACCCTGGTTCTGTTTTTCTATGAATCGTTCTCCATCCCATCAGCATCTGGTCCAACGCCGCGGCATGCAAGGAACAAAAGAAGACAGTTTGTTGACATTTTAGGATTAGCATTACACAAGTCATACTTCAAAGCATGACTCTGTAGACGCTGCTTCTACGTTCTCATTTGGACTCCTTTTTTTCTTTGTTTTTTTTCATGACTTTCCACCAACTGCCATTTCAATTTCACTCAACGTTTTTGACTAACATTAATCAGAATGGTTAACCTGTCAATGTGTCTGCAAATGCCAATTATTTTACACTCCACGCGAATGAAATTTAGACATGAAGACAAAAAGCGTTCATTATGAAATGAGTGACACTGTCCTGATAAGTAGCTCACAGGAACCCTGTGAAGTACGGCTGCACTGACACCGTGTGACACATAATACACTGAAATGTAAGGATATACTGTAAGATAGTTGCTCCACAGAAAATATGTTAAAAAATTCATAAGTATATTTTCTAGTTTTATTAAAAACACATTTTTGTCAACATGTTGTATTTATACAGTGAATGGTCTAATATGCACTGGAGGTCACATAAGCTTAGGTTTATTGGAACAATAAAAGACATACCATGGGGGCTTGATATTCAAAGAGATGTAGCAGCTACTAGCTGCATATTTGACCATCAATTTATAATAGTTTGGATATTTCTCCTTTGAAGACACAAAAATAAAACCTGTCTAAGTATGTTATATTAACAATTTTATGAATGTATCCTCAGCAGACTAAAAATAAGGAAGTCAATTACTCCTTTAACACTTACATCTTGTCTCAACACGTTCTGCAGATGAAGGTGCAAAGCACTTTAACAGTATTTGTGCTATTTTTTTTATTTGGCAAATGTCTACTTTACTTATGTTTTTATTGTATTTTTAACCTTTTTTGTAAACAACATCTTGTACAAACTAGCACAGTGAATCACAACCCCAGCAAATGTGTTTTTATCTCCATACAATATAAATGAAATCAATACAAAAGTTTGGTTGGTTGCTTGGAACATTTTTATATGGATCGAGAGGTTCTAAAACATGGTTTTCGAGACTTCTGGACTCCTGAATTAAATAGATTACGTAAACAGTTGACTGCTCTAAGTCCCATTTAGAACCCCGGTAAAAGAATTTTAGAAGGTAGACTTCATTTCAACATTTCAAGTTCACTTCCATATTAAATAAAGGGTTTGCAATCCGCAGAGGGTTTTTACAGTTTGCCTTTTCAAGGCGACCTTCTTCAGATTTGGTGGAAATTCTGAAATCGCGAAGAAAAAAGGAAAAAAAAGAAACAAATAGTCCAGATGAAGGGAAAATTGTCATTTCCTCTGGCCTTCTGAAGCATGGTGTCAAAAAGGTTAAGTGTCAATATGGCAGAGCCTTAAGAGGCAAAGAGGTCTGAGGAGCTTCTGAATAAATACAAGGGACAAGGCTCATACCTCGAACACAGTCTGAATGTCGCTCAGCCTTCCTACAGTCCCAGGTCTGCACACGATCAACCCTCTGCCCCTTTATTCTCTCTGTAAAGCTATTGAAGTCTTTGACAGTAGCTAATGATGTTTTTGTGTTTGGGACATGCTATAGGAGATTTCCAGCGGGTTGTTTTTTACCCCACCGGTGAGTGTTAGGGGGTTTGGTCGCTATGCCGGGCCACTGACAGGAGTCAGGAGGGGTGACAGGGTGCCCCAGGGGCCCAAAAAGGGTGTGGGGGGGTGGGGAATGGGGGGCAGTTCAGCAGTCTCGCCCATTTTTTTTGTGAGTCCAGTTGTCGATGCAGGAGGGGGGTCGAAAGCGGCAATTTAAACACCCAAACACAATACCGAAGACAATGTTTTTGAGCATTATGCCAGATACGTTTTTCCCACAAAAAAGATCAACAAATCAACTGGAAAAATAAATGTGAAAAAAAAAAATTCAATGGCGTTGCCCTGTCGATATCCATTTCCCTTCTCGACCCATCCCCCAACACCACCAAACCTCACCACCCTCTGTTACAGAATCTCTCATCGGTAGAGTCCACTCTCTCTAAAAGCTACCACACAGTGCCCTCGTTCATTTCCGAGGGCGGATGGGACAGGTGGTTGCTGTATCCGCTGCCGTTCAGCGACAGTGAGGTAAAGGGCGGACTAGGGCCGAACACATCGGAGGAGATGCTGTGCAGGGGTCCTGGGATGCCGGGCTCTGGGCTGGGAGAGTCCCCCGGATGGTGGGACATTATATCAGAGAAGCGCTGCACCTCGCTGGAGGGGTGGTGGCCCGGCAAGGGGTGGTCCATACCTCCGAGGGGGGTGCCCGTGGGGCCTGAGGAGGGCACAAATGGGAGATCGACTGGGGTCTGGGCCTGCGATGATGGAGGCCCCTGAGGGAAGAAGTCATAGTTCCCTCCCGGGCCGTAGTACTCGCTTTGATAATCTGCAGATCCAAGAAAAAATCAACGTTAGTTATAAGAACAATGGGTTAGCAGAAATTATTCCGGAGACATTGAGGAATTCATTGAATATACGTAGCTTGATTTGTATTAGAGAGCAAGAGAGACCCTCGCCGTACTACATTAGTCACAGAGCACGTTACACTTAAATCAGAACTCCAATTGGGTGGGGAGAACAACGTGGCCACAAAATTAATTAAAATGAGGGCCATTTCATCAGCGATTCGACTACTGAGACCGATTTTTTTTTTTTCTTCAGTTCAGCAGAATATTATTAGACTTTTTGCTTCAGCAGAAAGGACAAAGGCCCGAGCGCAAATGAAATTCTCTGAAAATGATCAGATATTTCAAAGCATTTGAAGGAAAAGTGTGGCATCAAATCACTGAGATGTAAACTAACTTCAAGTCAACTTAAGTCATTCTCCACTGATTCCTAAGAGCTTATGGACGAAGTCAACCAAACTGAATATTTCACAAGCTAATTTGTTTTAAGACGTAAGAGCCTCACTGCTGTATATACAAATGTGCCATACTGTTAAGCAAGAGCAGAAAATCACTGCACATTTATTTATTTATTTCATATATTTAAATTTTTTTTATTTTGTGTACTAAATCAACATTAAGATTTTTGTTCAGGCAGAGCTTAGACAGCTGAACCTGTACATGGTGCTGTACTTCCTTTAGGTGGCAGCGCCTTAAGCTGATATGTACAGATAAAATGGGGCCTTGTTCAGAATCAGGATATGACAGAATAGAAAATAAATGACGGAGGAAATAAGGAAACACACAAATGATATTTTGATATATGTTAAATAAAATGTGCCTGAAGAGAAGACAATCACACCAATTGTCATTTTAACATGTTAAAAAAAAGTTTCATGAGAAAAAAAGACTTTCCAGGACGTTAAAAAACATTTTTCTCTCATGAAAATGTATAATGTATGCATACCTCCATAGTAGGAGAAGGGCCCGTTGGGGATCAGCTCCCCGGGCTCCAGCCGGTCCACCAGCGTCCTCATCCGCCGTGGGCTCCGGAAAAACGCGTGCCTTCGGGCGCCCAGCGCGCTCAACTGCTTCATACGCCTCTCTTTGGAACGTCGGTTCTGGAACCAGACCTGGACACACACACACACACACACACACACAGCTCATGTCACTCAGTAATCATGCAAGAAGCTTCTGACGCCATTTTGATTGCACGTCAATATTGTGCGTGAGAAATGGGAGGAGAGTGAGAAATGGAGGTGATGGCGTGGTGAGGGCTGCTTTGGTGTGAATTTTTGGAGGCAGAAATGTATGAATAAATATGTTTGCTTTTTTAATGCACGTCGTGAATTTGTTTTGGAATGTGCAAATAAACCTCACTGTGTAAATTCTCCGCCATACAAAGCAAAGTGTAATTAGGTGTCATGTTTACCTTGGCAGTTGCACCACGTTGGCTTCTTATTAGAGTAAATAACCGGGCTGTCTGTGTTCTTTTGCGGCGTGCGTGATGAGCCGGTGCGTTAAATCCGCGCGGCTCTGCGGCAGAGAGAACGGCGCCCAATTATCGTTACAGGAGCGAGAGTCACATCTAACCTCCTTAATGATCTTTTAACCCTCCATTTACTCCGACCGAAGGCTGCAGCAGCGGGGGCTTAAAATCTCCAATTAATACTTAATAGGAGGGTTGTTACCAATATATTACCGGGCTCTTGGAGGTTATCATTTCCTAATCTATAGGCCGGCTTCCTTTAATTACGCGATTCCCTCTACCCCTCATGCTCATACATATTAGATACCCTTACTTTGCCACTTTCATTTTATCGCCATTAATCTGCAGAGCCTTTTTACCTGTGATCTGCCCCGCAGCCGTATCCACATTAGGACTAAAGAAAAGAAAAACCTCTTTGAAAACTAAAAGATCTGCATTCCGGGAGTAGGTCTGTTATTATTCCTGATGGGTGGTTTTATTTTTGGCTCATGAATTTGTAATTCCTAATAGTTCCCAATCAATACTTTGATGCGCGGATGAAAAATGGGGGGGGGGGGTGCAGCGAAAGAACAAAATAAAACAGTCCCCCACACTAAATCGATAATATTAATAATAATAATAATGTTTTTTTCAGTTTTCTGTCTTGCTCTTTGTTTAAGTTAGTGTGGCCCTGCTGTAATTCAGAGTTCCGAGGAGACAATCTGAAGACCCTTGAAACAGATTTCTGTCTTTCCGCTTGGCTGGAAATGCTCACAGCATGGCTAAACGTGGTCGCAAAACGTGATGGCAGCGCTGTGCCAGGACTCCCAGCGCCCCCAGCAGCCCGGCGCCAGTTGGCGACTTCGCCCCGTAGCCAGCGCCAAGAATCAAAAATACCCATATAAATTACCCGTTTCCAAATCAACCCTCGTGCGTCGGCCAATCTTTGGCCTAATGAATTCAATGTGACCGCGCAGTTTGAAGGCAAGAGGCCTCATTTAAAGAGGGGTGAAGGATGTGAGGGTGATGGTGGGGGAGGTGGAGCCTCTCTGATGAGTTGAGGCCTGCACGGTCATGGCAGTCTGGCAGCTTGGCAGGGACATGTTTCCATAAAATATAAGCTGTTACATCACACCTTTTAATGGGTGCGTAACACCCTATAAAACCGAAAAGGCGCGAGCCCACCTCCTCGACCCTTGTGTGTCCCCTGAATATAATTTCTATAATATTTCAGACAGAATCAGAAGATCCCCGTTTTGATGATTTATTATTGAACCGTATAAAAATGACTGAGGATGGTGAGAGCTATAATTACAATAGTGGTTGCTGTTTCTGGCCATGCGGAGAAACACCCACGCGTTTAGTAAATATGGACTACATCTTTATTTGGTGGTTAATGAATGAAGTCATAGTGACATAAGAGGGAGAATCTAGCAGAGAATTATCAGAACTCAGTTTCTTTACCTGGATGACCCTCATGTTGAGGCCGGTCTCCTGTGCCAGCTGCTCCCTGATGTGTCTGGTGGGTTTGGGGGTGGCAGCGAACGCCGCCTTCAGCGTCTCCAGCTGTTTGGCCTTGATGGTGGTCCGCGGGCCGCGCCGCTTCCCTCCGACGTTCTGGTCGTCGTTCTCGTTATTAACAGTTTCTTTGTCGGACAGGGCGGCTGACTCCGTGTCCTTTAGGACCACGTCGTCCTGTAGCTGGTCTTGAGAGTCCGGTGATAAACTGGGGTCGCTGCAGGCCGTTACTAAAGAAACGACATGTGGAAATTAGAATAAGCAGAGCGATTCTCCAAAACATGGGAAATATTAGGCTTCAGTCATAAAGAAAACTATATGTCCGTAGCGGTGCAGTCATTCATTGAAGGTGGCTGAATTATGACCTTAAGTCGGCGATTCACACTATCACCAACAATAATTCGAAATAAATGAGGTTCATGTTTTTAAACTGTTTATCTATTTGACCAATATTAACACAAACATGTACAAACGGGAACATTATATTCACTTTTAAAAATCACCTGATGTGTTTTTTCTCCTTTATTGAAGATACTTTAATATTCAGGGAAACATGCAAACCAACTTAATAAAAATCCTTACATGACATATTATGGAACACACATTTACAATGAATGCCCCACTAGCTTGGTGAGAAAATCAAATGTTTGAACAGAAAATATATATTTGTGAACCGAATGAGCAACAGACAATGGACTGTGAGTGGTGCTGAATTGTATCCTCTGAATGCCGTCTAAGTCCTGGTCATGGAAATGATGAAGCCACTGCGGGGCTGAACACATCACATCCATCACAATTTACCCGGCCTTGCCTCGCGCGCACACACACAAACTGCGAACACACACGCACCTGAGAGGAGGCTGGCGTCTTTTACACTGGCATTGTTTTGGTAATCGTCTTTGCAAACGAATTTGTTCTCGTCTATGATGTAGAGCTCCTCGCCGGTGGAGAGCTGCTTATTGCACATCATGCAGGTGAAGCAGTTGAGGTGAAACACTTTGCTGCGGGCCCTCCGAACCAAGTCGTTTGGAGAAATGCCTTGCGAACAGCCGCCACATTTTGTGCCGAACCGTCTGCGGGAGGAAGAAGGAGATGGTTATTTTTGTTATCAAATACGTATTATACACAAATTATAAATACTAACATCAACGCCTACTCGGGTTTTGGTGGCCAGGCTGAGATGATGGTGAGGCAAAGAGCAGTATTAAGCAAAATATAGATTCACATTGTCTCTGGACAACATCTTTACAAGCTTTATTATAAGGTGTAGACATGCATTAAACCTGTAATGATCATTTGATCACGTATATATATATATATATATTTATATATATATATATATATATAAATATTTTTTTTTTAACATGAAAAAATATAATCTTTAGATAAACTCCAGATTCGTATTGTATTATATGCAGACTGAAAGTTTTAAAACGCTTTTTGGACTTCCAGAATTAAGACTAAATAAATAATAATGATAACAATAATAGTATTAATAATAATAACATATTTAAAAATGTGTTTTCGTATTGTATGCTAAATTTAAATATATACATAAACACGTTGGGCAATGACGCTGTATAAATACATAATTATCAAATTAAATGTAGGGATGTTGCGCATGAGCTAAATCTTTTAATTTTCTAAATGTTGAAAATAACAACATGTGCTTTCCTTCCACCTGAGGCCATTGCTCACCTCTGTGTAGACCTGCTGGCGTTAGTTGTTTTAGTAAATGTATTAAGTATTATATCTCTATATTTCCAACCTTTTTGTATTCCTTATGAAACCATATATGTTATGAATAGGAGGATGCAATTCAGTAAATATAGAGGTCTAGTAGCCTAACACAGCAGGCTGCTTTGGAATAATAAATGATCGCCCTGCCATTGACGGTTAAACCATGTGTATTGAGTGGTGTGCACTGCTTGTTGACTGCACGTCTGTGATTGCATTGTCTGCGGACTTGATCTTTTCAACTAGTTTACTATTCAAATCCACTTATCACGTCCTCCTCAGTCGGACTGAGCAAACACACCGGGCAGCGGCTCCTCTGGCCGGGGTTTGATCCTGTGCGCTCCCCGACTGCCTGCACGCTGTAAAAAAACACACCCCAAGTGTGATTTCCTCGATATCCTAACAACACCCCCCCACACCCCCACTCCCCTCCCCTCTTTCCCCGCTGAGAGCGAGAGCACACGCGTTTAATGTTGCTGCCCCTCTTTTGTTGTTGTTTAGCATAAGAATCCAAATTAACAAGCTTTTAATTACGCGCTCCTAATCAAAGCGTATCGCCTCCAAGTCCTCACTCACGCCTACAGGCACGGACAGGTTGGTTTATCCATTTATTTAGAGAATAAATAAATAAAGCAGAAACGTTCATTCTAAGAACTTGTTATCCTGTGTGTGCAGTCAACAGATGTGCATTTTGTATTTTATATTTGAACTATTTGTCTGAAAAAGCATGAGAGGCAGTCTGCGTTTTTAATAATTACTGGTATGTCAATAGTATAGCAATACTTTACAACTAATTTAAAAGTTGTAAATAATATAGAAGACACAAATAATGATCTGCACTCCTAAGACTTCAAATGATTTTCAGCAAAATATAATCTTTGGGCTTAAATGATTGATGATGCCCCATCACTATTTGTTCTGCTATTTAAATATCTTTATGTTATAACTTCCTTCTGCTTTCACAGTCCAGCTCGTGACATAAACTCAGACACATTCGTAAACAGAAACACAGCTGAAGAGTTTTTCTGTCTCCTTAACCGATCTTACCTAAAGAAATCGTTTTTGCAGTACAGTCTCCCTTCTCGAGAAAAACATTTCTCTGTCAAATTACATTTGCACTCGCAGCACTGCACGCATTTGACGTGCCAGGCTCTATCCAGCACGTTGAGCAGAAAGCGGTCCAGAATAGGCCTCTCGCAGCCTGCGCAGTGGACCATGGCTTTGGTTGGGCTACAACCCCACAAATGAAGCGCGCACACACCCAAACAAAATCAACAGCACAGGCCGAGTATTGACCGAGTATCTGCTGTTTCCCTCCTTGATTCGCCTGAAGCTCCCGGGCCAATGTGCGCAGAGAAGCCAGTCGATCAGGTGTCACCACAGTGTTCTCCCTGCATGCGTAAAAGGCTCCAAAGAAACACACGTCCTCTCTCTCAGGTGGAAAAGCCAAAAAATAGAAAAAAAATCAGTCCTTTACTGGATCCGGGGAAAAACACACAATTCAACCAGAATGTAGATTTCAACACGGGCAGCTGAAGATCGGCTCAGGCGAGAAGACCGGAGCCAGTTTGGTTGTCCCGGCGCTCTTAGAAGTGACGCATCGGTTGGAGGAGCGTCGTGTGCCAGTCAGTGCTGGAAGAGGCGTCTAATAAAATGCTTTTAGGGCAGAGCTGTCACACAACAAGACACGCACGCCTACAGATAATTCAGTGTACTTGGACATGACAGCGTATCCACTGTACAGAAGCCGACGAGAAACACAATCACACACCCAAAGGATTTTTAAAAAAGAGTGTTTTCCCTCTCGCTCGATCCGATGATCCTGGTCGTTCAGGTTGTGGCGGCGGGGGATGCTGCGATGCGCCGATGGCTCTGATAGTAGTCAGTGTGTATGCTGGGATGCCCTCACTCTCCAGTACCGTGTGTATGCTGGGATGCGCTGGGTCTCCAGTAAACTGTCTTGCTCCTAAAGCTCCAACCCAGCCTTATTCCCAGCCTCCTGACGTCAGGCTGCGGCCGGACCAATCAGCGCCGCGCCATGCCAGCAACCATCAAGCCGCCCCATCATAACCCAGCGAGGGCTCTGCCTGCTATTTATGCCACACACTCAAGACACCAATTGTCAAGAATTTCCCTGCAAACTGTCATATGTTAGTGAATGTGTTTGGAGGAAGCAGCCGCGGCGGCGGAGGGCGAGCAGCGCGGAGGGAGAGACGCCACTTCTCAGCTGCTGAGCAAATTGTCTTCTGGGCATGAGGGGGGCAAGAAGGAGGAATCTGTGCAGGTAGATAAAGGCGTCTTCCGGATAAAGAAGCAGGATGCGCATATTGCATTGCGTGCTCCATGTTTACTAATGCTACGTTACTTTGCGACAGAAAATTACGCACAAGTCGGGCATGTTTGTCTTGTTGTTTGAGGATAACTGGAGTTTTTGTTATCATCAACAAACCATCTGTCCTTTAAAATATAAAATCTGTAATACCTGCTTTGCACTTGGACGCGTCATCCATACAGCTAAATGTTTGATTACACAGCAGAAAGCTGCAGAACAAGTCTGTCAATAGGATGTTATCGTTCTCCTCTTCTCCCAGTGTGGTGCTACATTACAGAATGTCTTGTGCTCATTAACATCTTTTTTTCTTTGCGCAAAGCAGCACACCTAAGCACTTTTCTCTTTGGTGTGATGGTGAGGAAGCCTGGAAGTGAAAAACAGAAAGGCTCTAAAGTTGACAGCTCGTGCAGCTCAACCCGTCAGGCGCTCGCGGCCCACACACCTCGGACGATTCATTAGGGAGGTCCTATCCAATTCAAGTCCACTTTAAGTAATTAATACCATGAACCTAACAGCATTCTGGATTATCAGTCATTCACCATCAAAGAGATCAGTCAAGTTTAGTGTTGACGATTTACAGGCCTGCACTCTTTAACTCTTTGTTTTTGCTCATTGAACATATTGTCTACATGCTTGTTGAATACATTCGTTTATATCGAACCAAGATTAAAGGAGTTCGTAGTAATTGTTATTTGAAACGTTTACCCAAACTGTTCTATTGTGGCTCGTGTCACAATTTACCGTGAGACAATGTTGTATTTGTCTTTGTTGTAAGCAGAAGCAGAATCTCCAGTTTATTTGTGCATCTTAACATGGAATCAAGCTGAATAGCTGCGCACTTTTAGCAGAAAAGGCGACCAAGGAAACCCATTCATTCTCTACCAATAGCCCGCCAGCATCCTCTTGCATATGGGCTGCTTCTCATGCAAAACGCCCGCCCGTCCCCGTCCAGCTGCCTCCCGGCGTCTGGGGAGCGCCCCTTAAACAGGACATGTGTTAGTGGTGTGAAGAAAGAGAGAGATAAGGCTTCAAAACACACAGACTCCATCTCTTTTTCTCTCTCTCTCTGGACCTCTTCAGCCCGACATTCTCCTCCCCCTCTTTTCCAGTCTCCCTCTTCTCTTCTTCCTCACCCTTGCACCTATTTTTGTTTGTGAACGGTGCGTCCAAGCGAATTCTGCTGAGCATCTGGTTATGTTTCCATCAGATAGACGGGGAGAGAGAGGTCATTGAGCTCCATGACAACTGGGCGGGCCATATAGTTCTACATATAGGGGGCAATATGCAATGGAAATATCGCGGACTACAAAACTCACTTTTCTTTTTTTCTGCACTAAAACCTGCTGAGGAATCTGGAAATAACCCCCGAAAGCCTGCAGTCTGCAGGCCTCACTCTCCCCACTGCCAACAAACTTGTAAGTGCAGCATGTAAACAACAAAAGTTGTTGTTATTTCCAATGTGAGGAAGATGCCTTGATAGTCTGTCAGGGGGGATAATCTCTGCCTGATTTAGAATAAGCCAGAGAGAAGGAAAAAAGGCAGCTCACAGAGGCAGATTAATCCACGAATAGAAGGAAATCAAAATATAGGCTTAAAAATATCTCAACTCCCCTCCAGGCAAAGACACTATTAAATGCAAAAAAATGGTTTTAACCTTACCACTGTAATCCCTTACCAGCAATAGATTCTATTCTCACTCATTTTCATTCTGATGCAGACATAAGTTGTACATTGGAATGTGTGGCCCAGTGTCTGTGCTCAAATTGAAGCAAACTAAAGTTATTATTTTTCTTTTTGTCCTGCTTGAATCTCAGAAGGTATAGATTTGATGACAGGAGGCCTTCAGGCAGACTGTGAAGACTGTGACTGTCAATTGTGTTTAGAAATGAAAATCTAAATACCCAAATTAATCTGAAATGTACCTTTTATTGTTGTCTACTAAGAAGGCTTTTATTTTATTGGCATTTTATATGATATGCATTTTCTTCCTTCCTCCAAAGTTGTGGACGCTACTGTACACGCAACCACAGATAAGATAAGGGCTATTCTTGTATCAGGGCCACAGTGTTGTAAAGCAGCCCAGGAGATTTGGGGTTTATGAAGTGCAGACAAGTGAACTGGTACACTGCGAGATAATTAATCTGAGATAATGAATGAGGCTGCGAGGATGCATGCAATCATTAATTCTAATCATGACACGTTTATTTGTCTCCCCTCTCTCCTCCAGGCTCAGTTAAGAGACACAATGTCACCACAACAACGTGTGAGAGGCACGGCTAAAGGAAGGAGACTGCAGGTGATGAGATGGGTTGGGGAGAGGTGTTTGAAATATGAGAGAGAGGGATACTAAGAGCGATTTCTTCTTCTACGTGTCGTTTCCGGGGTGGTCAGGCTGTGAAAGTCGGGCTGTGTGACATTACAGCCGGGCCAATGAGGCCGGGCAGGCAAGCCGTGACTCCGGTAATACAGAGAGAAATATCACCCCCGACTGGAGCTTTGATCAACTGAGTGTACCGGGGAGGAGGAGGAAGAGGAGGGTGGGGTACCGGTCCGCTGCTCCGCTCTGCTCTTTGCAGTCTCGCCACAAGATTGTTTTTTCCTCTTTTCACAAAGGAATTGCAAAAAGGCGCTGATCTTCATAATTCATAATATGACAGATTGATCATTACAATTTATGAATGCGTTTATTTTAAGAATAAACAGCTAAAATTCTGATATTTTTTTTAATCTCTATTCCTACAAATTTTCACACATGGCATATGGGGAATTATTCAAAGATTTAAACAAAATTAAAGGAAATTAAAATGAATGAAAATGTATTTTCAAGTCATTGCTCTCATTGTAAGATGCTTTGGACAACAGTGTGCCAAATTAATGTAATGCGACAACAATTACATTAAATTATAAACAAATGAGATTTTTTTAAACGAAAAAAGTACAAATAATTTTATTAAAAAAACAGAGAGTAAAAGAAGCATCAGTCTGTCAATCATTGTTCACCGCATTATCACGCACTTCCAAGGCCGAAATCCGGCCCTCCCTTCTTCCTCCGTCCATCCATCCATCCATGCTTCAGTCCAGCCACCTAGGTGCGCGGTGCTGACTCGGGAGGCTGTGGCAACTAACGCAAAGCACGCAGAGTCCCACGATCGACTGACTGAGCTGTGTCCTCCCCTCTTTCCCTCCCTCCCTCTCTCCCTCCTCCTCCTGTAGATCAGCAGCCAAGCATATGCCGATGTGAACTCATCGAGGATTATTGAGCCAACACCAACTCTACGCAAACATTTTCCAGACTTTCCAACTCCGGTCCCAGCCTGTGCTGAGAGAAATCCAATGGGATTTATAGATCATCTCCCTACAGCTGTCTCTTCTCAGCCAGTCAACCCCCACTCCACACACAGCCACGCACACACGCACACACACACACGCGCGCACACACACACACACACACACACACACACACACACACACACACACACACACACACACACACACACAGACACTAGTATTCTTTGGTTTATGATCCGGCCTCCAGAACCATCCACTACAACCGCCACTTTCTTCACTGTCTGTGCGTTTTCTCAAGGAGATCACATGATTCGGTGAATTTGGGCTTTTGGGGTCCTCAACATTAACCCTGCATGAGACTTCGAGGTCAGCCAGAAACAAGGCTACTACCACCAGAGTCCCGCTCACTCCTCTAGGGGGCGAATTCAATCCGGGTAAAGTGAGGGCTCATGCAATGATACTATTATTACTATTACTATTATATTATGTTGTCCTTAAATCCAAGTTATAGTATGTCAGATTATAGATTTAAGAGATCAGCACACATTCCACACATGCCATATTTAGAAATAAATCTAAAACGTCTAGATAAAGGTTTAATAGTTGAATAATTACCTGTGTGTGTCTGTGTTGTATATTCAAATTAAGTTTGAAGTAATATGCCCACATTGATGCAGCCTATAATCACTTTATATTTAAATGTATATACACACACACACACACACACGGAAAAAGTACTCTAGAAAATGAGTAAATTGATGTTTTGTGTTTTCTGCAAAATTGTATTGTTTTATACAAAAAAAAGTCATCGGTCAGGAGATTCCCCTGTTCGATAAATAGAGCGAATCACAAACACGGCATCATATTTCCATCATATCCAACACATATCAGGTTGAGAACCCTGCCTGACTGAGCCAGGTGGGTTTTGTCAACAAAAACTGTTCACAACTAAAAAGTGCCTTTTTTTCTCTCATTTGAACGAGCTCCAAACAGTGACTGAGAAATGAGCACACATAAAGGCGCTGCGAGGCAGCCTCTACAGCAGTTCCCCTAGTTCAGATTAATGGTTCTCCGCGCTTATTCTGCAGTCGGGGTGAAAGGGCTAGGATCACTAATGATTATAATATAATGTGTGGCGATAACCACTCCCTTTGAGATATTATTGCCCGATGGCCAATGCTCTGGGGACGGGCTGCATGGCTGCAGAGCGGCAGATAGCTGCTGCTGCCGCCGCCACCGCAGCGGATTTCTGCGCTGTGAAATAAAAAGCCCGCAAGCATGGAGAGAGAGGAAGAGCTGGCCGCCGCTGATACCTGCATTAAAA